AACTGGTACGCCTGGGAGTACGACCCCTGGCACGACAACTCCCTATAGCCGACCTTTTACGCCTCAGGGGGAACGGGACGATCCATATGCCCGAAGCAAACGACCGCCACAGCCCAGAAATCTGGATGCAATCGATGCAAGGTTTATCTTCGGTAGCAGAGATCCACGACGGCAGACGTATGTGGGACCATCATCCTCAAGTCTACCCCGCCCTTCTGCCAGTGGAGTTGATATAGCTAAGGTGGAGAACAAGAGACACAGTTTGTTTGGTGGAGTTCCGAAACCACAAGAGGATAATGGATCCGTATCGTCGCACAAACCGCACGGCTCAATGTCGGAATTAAAAAGATTTTTCAAAATTGGAGGCAACAAAGGTAAGGAAAAGCGTGCACAGTCGCCAACAGGCTCAAAAAGATCAAGTAGAATGTATACCTCTGGATCTCGCACGCCTCCTCAGCAGCAAGTTGCTGCCGCCGCCCAACAAAGTGTTCCTTTTGCTGATGACCATGGCCTCCAAACAAAGTACGGGAAGTTCGGCAAAGTACTGGGCTCCGGTGCTGGGGGATCGGTCCGACTCATGAAAAGAAGTAGTGATGGCGTCACTTTTGCAGTGAAGCAATTCCGCGCTCGTCATTCCTATGAGACTGAAAGAGAGTACAGTAAAAAGGTGACGGCAGAATTCTGCATAGGATCAACATTACACCATGGCAATATTATCGAAACGATGGACATTGTCCACGAAAAAGGGACTTGGTATGAAGTGATGGAATATGCTCCGTACGATCTCTTCGCATGTGTCATGACGGGGAAGATGTCCCGCGAAGAATGCTCCTGCGCTACTCTTCAGATTCTCAGTGGTGTCACCTATCTCCATAGCATGGGTCTTGCACACCGAGATTTGAAGCTTGACAACGTGGTCGTCAATGAACATGGGATCATGAAGATAATTGATTTTGGTAGTGCAGTGGTGTTCCGATATCCCTTTGAGAATGACATTGTTCTTGCGAGTGGTGAGAAGCATAATCACTTGTCGATCCCCTGACTTTGCTAACGTTTCATAGGGGTCGTTGGATCTGATCCTTATCTTGCCCCGGAAGTGTACGACAATGCCAAGTACGACCCCCAGCCAACGGATATCTGGTCGCTTGCTATCATCTTCTGTTGTATGACTTTGCGCCGTTTTCCCTGGAAAGCGCCTCGAATATCCGATAATTCGTATCGCCTTTTCATTGCACCTCCAGATCCCGCCCAACAGGCTGCCGACACGAGGCGATCGTCTGAACAGGCCAAGTCTAGTTTGAACTTAGCCGAAGCCAATGATGACAGAAAGCGTGCAGCATCCGAATCTGGACCTGTAGAGCGCGACGACGACAGCAAGTCTGTCGCGTCCAATCATCATCATCATCACCACCGCCACCACAATGGAGCAAAGTCAGATCCACCAACCTCGACAAATGGTGCAGGTCACGCTTCCTCTGAAGTCTCAAATTCCTCGTCGTCGCAGACATCACAGACTATCAAAGGGCCTTGGAGGCTACTGCGCCTGCTGCCGCGAGAAACTAGACATATTATCGGGCGCATGTTGGAAATTGACCCAAGGAGACGGGCAACACTGGAAGAGATTCTCCAAGATAAATGGGTCAGCTCGGCCCCAGTATGTAGGCAAGAAGAAGGGGGCCGGGTCATTAGGCAGGGTACTCATGAACACACTCTTGAGCCAGGTGGACAGGGTACGCCTGCTCCCAGTAAGAAGTAGGTTGCCGTTTGGATTAAGCGTCAGAAAATGGGGAATCATGATGCACACAGACGAACAGTGTCTTGACAGTCCGATGCGCACACAGGAGCTCGTGAAGGGTTTGACTGCCATGGAATGTCATGAGGCAGGACTCAATTCGGCGAAAATTGGGAATACCAGGGATAATTGCATTAGATCGTTCAGGGCAGAGCAAAGTACCTAGTGCATAGATACGTCTTTTGGTTCGTCTTCCATATGCCAACGAGTCCGGCATTGTTGACTTTAGAGTCGTAGCAATAAAGTCGAGCTCAAATAGGTCGTAGCTGACAGTCAAGCAACCCAATGGATGTCGAAGGAGCAGATTGCCAGTATTCGTTGGGATAGTAGTACAATACCTATCCTTCTGACTATACGGAGTACACTCTTGAACTGAATTCACCACACCTGATATGGGTTAGCACACGCTGTAAATGATTTGAATCTCCGCAGGTTGATCGCGGCATCACTCATGAACCATCAGATAGGCTTGCCAATGTGGAATGCACCCAAAGTTGTCGACGTCGACCTATTAAAGCAATCATGACATCCTACAGCTGCAATCTTCGCTACAGTGGTCTTTTCTCTCAACACGTCTGAAGGGAGAAAGTCGTGGCACTGGTTCACGCATTATAAAGCGAATGTTCTCAACCACGTTGAAAAACGACCTGACCACACATCCGAAGCCCTGTCGACTGACAATATTTGCCCGGGGCCGACTCTATCGATCTCAAGTCAGGACACTCCTGGTCCCCTATCAAAATCCAAGTGATGAAGATTTGAGGATGACAGCATCAATATTTTCTAATTCAAGATTGTATAAATCTCATATATACAAAGAAAGAAGATCTGTGAGCTTCTCTGTCGAGAGAATGGAAGCACTTCACATGTTATCAGTCACGCATCCACCCAAAACCTCTTGAGGACGAGTCGTTTCAGCCTTTTTCTCCAAACCTGTCGTATTTACAATTTGCTGTTCACGAATGTCAAAGCAGCCTGTCCGTACTCAGATCCGTAGCCCTGGTGTGTAGCTGCATCATTGCCATTGGAGCAGTAGGGATCGGCGGCATCGCAGTAGCTTTGAATCTTTGACGAGAAGGAGCCGCAGGTGAAGCCATTCGGGCGAGCGTCGAATCCACCTGCGGTTGAAGTACCGACATTGAAGGGCTCCCCTGGAGAGTGTCTTGGGTCTCCCATCCAGATAACCGCCTTGACTTGAGCCTGTGCTGCAGTCGAGATGGTAGCTGCAGTGCTGCTGATTCCCTGGTTTGTATCACCACCTCCGCACAGTGCATCGTCGAAGATTTGAGCGCCCTGATGCCAATGTCGTTTCGTAAGCAATGCACATGAACCGTCTCGCACTCACTCCGTTCGTCTCCTTCACTGAAGCTCTCAGGTAGGAAAGTATTACTCACCTGCGAGTATCCGACAAGGACCAACTCCGTACTTGGGCATTCGCTGTTGAAAGAATTGACCTGGCTTGCTACAGCTGATACGCCTGCTTGCACCGATGAGCCGTAATCAGACCCCCCTGCTGCAGGATAGGAGATTGCTTCGGCTGTTGATCCAGAGTGAGCGTTCAGGATCAAATTAACGACTGTACCGGCAGATCCGTATCCGGCAGCAGCAGTTGTTTCTCGAGCTCCAAAGACATGGATATTCGGGCAGGCTCGACGCTCAAGTGGAGCAGCGAGTGCTTGACTGACAACAAGCGCTGCGGCGATTTTGTAGAACATGGTGGAGAGCAGAAGATGAGTGGTGCTTTTAGAAAACGAAGCGGTGATGTGAAGCGCAGAAACGAGCTCTGTAACCTTCTACAAGATCCTTTAAGTAAACCTGTGATTTGACGAGGCACTGTCGGAGCAAAGGATTAAGGAACGAAAGGGCCATAATGTTTTCCAATAGACAACCATGATCAACCGATCCGTGATGCTTGGAGGATACTACGCGTATTATTGGAGAAATCATCCTGAAATTTCGCTCCTGCCGGAGCTAAGACCCAGGCTTGACTTCCGGTACGCTCATGACAGTAGATATTCGAAGATTAGTGACTTACCATTTTGCCTGAATGAAAGTCACGCAGTCAGCAGACTTAGCAGGCTCAGCACATCCACTTTAGCAGCGTCTAACTGGGTGTACGCTTCGTAGTGAAGACATGAAGGTAGGCGTCGAGTGCTAGCCTTTCCTATTTGGACCATACTGAATTTATCCCAGACTTGGAATCATGGAATATGTGACATGAGATGTTTCACATACACAAGAACATCATTCCCCGCAGACCCGGAAACTAGGGTTTCGGTAGCTTCCGCATCCGATCTTGCCTGATGTCATAAACCGAATACCAACATTGGTGAGCTCGCTCATTCAGGCTGAATTCTATAGGAGCCGCTCCAACATGAATACGGCATTTTGGATTATCTAAGCCCAACAAGGAGTTCCTTGTCACTATTTTCCGTGAAATCTAGGATTCTGACTGTGGGTAAGATGAACGTTTACGTTTTATTGAGGCCCTTGGCTATGACTTGATAGAAGACCCGTTTCGACTTTAATCCTCACCCTGAACCGCACCAATTTACTTAACATCGGTTACGTGGTTATGAGAGTGACGAAAATATTGTCGGCTCAAATCGTTGACTGCTGAGTTTTGACTTGGTGCCAGGAAAAGCTAGTGTTCTTTCCTCTCCCGGCTATTAAGACTTCCAATGCTGTACTCCGTACAATAGGGGTTATTCTGCCAATCCCTGCGACCTGTCTGGTGCGATTTGAGAAATTGGATGTGGTCATGATTGAGAAAACCCTCGTCAGACTGCAGAGCATTCCTCCAAATGCAACCACCTCTGCTTCCTGTCAAAAACCCCATCCACAAGAATGCTGTTCGGATCATGCTCCATTTCTGGTTGCAAGTCCTCAACAATTGGTAGTCTGATGAAATAATTTTAGCAATCTAGTTCTGTACATCGAACACGTAATTCGCGTCCTCGTTCGGTCAGCAAATAGGTCTTCTCAGTATCTAGTGGAGCACATGTACCCAGGGTCATTTTATGCATTCATATTCTATGCCGTTATGCTTACGAACACCGAAGGCGGAGACAAGCTACATGTAGATGATAGAGACCTTAGGTAAAGGTTCAACGCTATCTTCAGTTTGGTAACGACAATGTCTCCTATCTGCTCTCAAGAACTCGAGGAGAAAAAAAAGAGGCGAGTACCAAGATGAAAAAAATTATCAGGGTCTTGCCGCGACTCGAACGCGGGGCCTCTCGCAAATCATACATACGACCTTGTATGTATAGAGCCTAGGTTACCCTAAGCGAGAATCATACCACTAGACCACAAGACCCATGTTCTACGAGTTATTGCGGCTTCATGATCAAATTTTCAATATATTTCATCTCTTTGATAGATTTCATTTCTCTATCTTTCACAACTCTCGTCGTCCTTTTTAATTCTCTCTACTATTCAAGTCTACTTCTGCTTCACTACTCACCGGAATACTGACTCCCTGCTTCTCTTATTTCTTCTACTATTTTTTGCAACTCGTCTTTTTTGACCTGATCTGTCACGGACCGTGGCCCATCAACATGCGCATAAGGTAGACCTGATCTACGGCTAAACCCCGGATGACGCTACATGCATGCACATAGGTCTGATTCACGGTTGAACCTCGGATAAGGTCGGAGTTGACCCAGCATCGGAGCTAGGGGTTTTTCCGTGCGCAGACCTGATTATCAGCGAAGCCACGCACTCCAAAACCTCTCTGTAGCTAGGTAAATATTGGTTCATCAACAGTACATCTTAGTTTGCTACTCTGACGTAATCCTTCTCTCCTCTTTCCTGATCTATTTCTTGCCTTTCCGAATAGTTTCTTACGGCCGTCAAAATCCAGAGCACGTGCACCTTTTGGAGGGAAGAGAATATCAAAAATGTAGCACGGAGTACGTCGCAATTTCAAGCGATTTGGGTATCGAGAGTACCTCTAATACAGAAGTAAGTAATGTACATCCGACGAATAACAAAACGCGTCTGGCCGATATCTCTCTCCATGCTCACATTAATTTTCGCAACTGCTCCGTCTCCCCTCAAATATATATAATCCTGTCCTGAGCAATCACTGGTACGTCAACACAGTCGCATGCATTTTGGCAACAAAGGTCAAACCGTGTATCAAAGGTTACGAGGTCCTAGATATCTCCATGTTCTGCATAGATGGCTGCAAACCTGGAACCATTCCGCCCCTTTTTGAGATGTACAATGACCTCGATATTCCTTGATCGCCTTCTCGAGCCTCTCGGGCGTAGCTTTAGCATCGCGTCATGCTACGTAGTATCCGGTTGAAGAGCCGGCGCTGTTTGGCATCGCTATGGATGAGTGAGGTTCCGAATCGAAAATGACATGCAGTATAGAAAACTGTTAGTGAGGCCGCAGCTGCCGCCATATTGATGCCCTGCTGGGCCTCCCCGTCATATGCATATTTACGAGGAACACATGCTTCTAACTCAGCTCGTGCACAGGGAAGGACAGGAACTGACAGTCCCTTACTAAACGCTTTACCGATGCACCTAAGGTATATCGCGATTACGATTGCACACTGCCTCTGAGTCGCACCATGTCAAGGGCGATTGAAAATGATTCGGCATTGTTTCGGAAAAAGGTTGAACTGAGTATTTCTGGCCCATCTTATCGGGATCATTCATGTGTACATGTAGCTCCTTGGGGGAACGCCTGTAACTGTTAGGCTGTTATCGTCAACCTCCGGCTCTGGATTGGGTGATGTTTCCCATCATTGGGAAGTATCAGAGCCGACGCCTTGAAACAAGTTTTCGTAGGCTCCAGGAACTCATGGTCTGTAGACATGGTCCGCAATATAACTTGGGCAATACGTACAGCCTTTCTCTCGAGCAAGGCCGATCTGCCTTTGAGTCTTGCGATTTTGTCCAGATGTTTGAAGCCGCAGGCGATGAATATGAACCTTGATGCTCTCGAGGATCTCAGTCAGGAGCAGCGGGAAACTTCTGAGAAGACGAAAGGCGGTTCGACGAGTTGGATTGGGTGCTACATAGACCAAAAGACTCGTCAGCATCGCCGCCTCGAAGCGGTTTTCGTTTCTTGAGATTGGTGGAGGCCCCTAAGAGTGTCCCACACTTTGAGTTTATGATTAGAAGTAAATCAGTCTACGGTGAGTGGCATGAAGAGGCCTTCTGTTATAGATCAGCTTGGGGTGAGGGAAGGGAAACTTGAATTCTTCAAGATCTGCAGGGCCGGGTACCCTCAGCTGTAGCAAGCCTAAAGAATCCGATTAGCAGGCATGGATGGATTGATCATATCAGACGACTACGCAGGAGTGGCGGAAAAGAAATGTAGCTGATGTCCTCGGACGAATCACAGTAACAGTGAGACAAATTCTACACCATGAGACTCGCGGTATGGGTGTGGGCCAAGGAGGCATACAGGATCTATTTCAGCATAGCAGATATCTATCATGATCCTTGTAGTCTTCCTCCAGGAGCCTTCGGTCTTCGGAAAGATACAGACTGCAACATTGTTCAAAGTCCGTGATGCTACCTAGATGTTTGAGAAATATGATGCGGTTGAGGCAAGCCCTCAAAATTCGTTCGCGCATTCGTACGAAGTAGACATGATGGGATCACCATTCTTGTATTTGCTGACGGCGGGATATGGGCAAAGGGCCTGATGCCTAATCGTGCCATTGATTGCGCTGGCGCTGGTAGTTGCCAGAGTCTCCGGAACTGTACCATTCTCGACCCAATCTCTTAATGCACCTAACACATCATCGGGTAGAGGTCCGTAGCCATTTCCACAGTGTCCAACACCAGGTGCGAAAAAGACACGGTAGAAATCTTGGGTGTCAGGGTAAATACTGTTGACACGGTCGTAGTAATTTGCGGTACCATTCGGCATTATGGTACTGTCAGCCAGCCCTTGCCAAGTAATCATCTTGGCGCCTCGTTTGCGGAAAGGTCCAAGATTTGCGTCGGAAGTACCGATTACGGAGTCATACTGTTGATGGGATTTTTGAAACAATGATTGAAACTCGGAGTAATCGATCTTGGCTGCAAAGGTTCAGCTAAGTTTGAACGGAGGTACTCAACTCTGCAACAGGTTCAAGTGAAGATTGGCTGCAACTTACCTGTATCAGCAGAGGCATTTTTGTACAGAAAATCTCTGAACCAACTATCCGAGATTGCAAAGGGTTGCGCGACTGTGGACCCGTTCGGCCACGTGAATGTTAGGGCTAGAGTGCTGAAGTTTGCTCCGCGCAGGATCCCGTACCATAGGCTATCGCCATCCAGTGTTGTCGGGCCTTTCCAGACCTGAGCAGCCGGGGCTCCGTCCTCAGTCCTGGGACCATCCCAGATCATCCGAATGACCTTAGCCGTATCGTTTGAGAACACAACAGTTGAATTATCATCGCATTCAAAAGTTTGGCCCACGATAGTGACGGGATCGAAGAAGCAGCGTCCGGGTGCTCCGATGATACCGTCAACAAGGCCATCAATCGCATCACAAGCCGACACTGCGGCAGCAGTAGCATAGTCGAATTCGCATTGTCGCGGGAAATGACGCTCATTGTTCATCACTGTAAAAGGCCATTGCTGAGCAGGCGTGAAATCATTCCAATTCACAGCGGGAGCTGAAGCGACAATTCCATCGTAATCATCGGGATAATTCTGCGCTTCGCCTAATCCTTGTCTCCCGCCCGTTGAGCATCCTTGCCAATAGGAGTATTTCGGAGGATTGCCGTAGAAACTTTCGACGATTTGTTTCCCAATTACAGTCATTTCATGAACCGATCTCGACGCAAAATTCAGGAGAAGGTACTGATTCACGTTGCCAGGACTGGCAAGTGCCCATGCATCCGCAGAGTTTGGGTTCATACCAACTCCTGCATCTGTACCAACAGCGGCGTAGCCACGCTGGACTGCTGGAGCTAAAGTGTCCCAGTTGGAGACGGCCTCATATCCTCCTCCACCAATACCAACGAATCGTTCATTCCACGCCTCAAGAGGCAGCCAGACCTGGTTGAGGACAGTATCATTGGCGCCAGGATGTGTGAGAGTGACGTTGATCTGACAGAAGCTAAGACCACTTATGTTCTGCGCAGGCCAATTGTTTGAGAAGGTCGGAATTTCAAGGGCGTAGTTTGTAACGAGGGCGGTTGTCAACGAGGTTATTTCAGCGCCATAGACTTGAGGAGTTGCAATGCTGTTTGCTGAACATTGTGTGCTGTTGAGTGGAGTGGCTTGGACATAAAGCAAGTGCAAAAGAAGTAGCTGCAGAAGCTTCAGATTAGACATGATCAAATTCGAAGTGGGGTGGATATGAAAGCCTCGTAGAAGTTGGAGGAGTCGACGTCGACATACCTTCATGCAACTCGATACGGAGCATGCTCATCTCTACTCGCGACAGCGGAAACCGAGATTGCTGGAATAGTACCACTGCATTCCTCACAGTATGCCGGGCATCGGCAACGCGGTACTGATCGTGAGGGGAATATCGTTCTCCTGGCTTGAGTGACGTAGTGGAGAAGAAGAATGGCGGGGAGAACTCTGGCATGGGTCAGGTCTTTTCTGGGAAGGAGGGGAGCGACAAGCGGAAGAAAGCGTACAGGACACGGTGGCACGCGTTCGACAGAAAACATTGCACCCCACAATCAGGGGATACCTCATCGAGTAAAAGCGGCGGTACCAATACTTACGCGTGGACGGATGGAAGCTCTGGGATTTCAGATCGCACGTGATTACTCCCAAGCTCCTGGAAAGAGAACGACAGCTTTTCCCTAAATATAGAGTACTTTATCCTCCGAATTACGAATGAGCGTACCAAAACATCTTCATGTCTATGATCCTTTCCTACTAATCTCATACCAGTGTTGGAATACTAGGTTCTCTACAGGAACCTGGCAATGATAGAAGGAATCGAAAATGTCTGGCATAACAAACTCTGCTCATGGTATCCAAGGAAACTCATTTCGTCAAGACTCCCAGAATATGAGGTAGCACCTTATATACTGGCTCGTCAGGCGGCTGTGCTAGGTCGACGCTAGACCACGGTCCTGCTTCCTTCAAGTGCGTTGCGGTGTCGTTGCATAATCTACACGAACCCAAGAAGAAGGCCCAGAAGAAGTTGGTGTAGCCTGCCACACGTCAGTCTTGCAACAGATATACAGTGAAACACGTACGCTGGTACCAGCCAAGCAACATTCTACCTCTCTTGACCTTGACATGCTCGTAAACGTACCACCGACCACCTGGCTTAAGCAGTTTGTACAGAGCCTTGATATTTTTCTCTTGATCAGGTATGCTGCATAAGCACAATATC